CTTAATGCCCAAGAGATTTAAATGGACATTTGCATAATTAAACAAATAAACGTGTGGTTGGAAATCCCAATGAATAACATGAAGGGAAACTGTAGAATCCTGTAACAGAAAGATCTGATTTAGAGTTTTAACATATCCAGGGAAAACAGATCAAAGGGGCGTCTTGATTTAGGACAGGCAGAGAATTTTGTTCATTGCCCACAGCCAGGAAAACAACTCAATCAAAACTTCATGTGCTCCAATAAAACTTCTCAGACCTTGGCTTTTAAAACTCTGACCGTGTCAAAAATGCTTCAAAAATGAACAGCAAAAATGTTTATTTATGATGGTTTAGTGTTCTAATTTAAAATAAGCTAGGTTTCAAGAGGAAGCAAAAATCCAGAGAGGCTAGAACGTGCCTCAGCAGGACAACAACGCTGTACCAGCCTCAGAGGAATCTTGACTCATCAAAGTGCCCTGGCTGAGTCACCTTGGCCAACTGGTGCAGCAGCTCTAAGCATCTTTGCCTCAACTCTAAGGCAATAGCCATGCCTACCCACTATGAGCAGGACAGCCTGTTAGGAGTAGCCCAGAGAATCTAATACAACAGAGGACCTGGAAACATCTAAGAGAATGCCAGGGTGATCACTGCTTTTACAGGATCTGTAATCAGTTATTCATTTGTTAATTCAAAGACATCATTGTGTATCCATCTTTCAGTTGCTCTTGTCAATCTTCTCATGCAGCAGCTCCGGCTAATATTAGTCAAGCCAGTTACATAGCATGTCATACTTAGCACCTTTAACATAATTCTATCAAAAACCCTTTTGTAACAAATAACCATGAATGCATAGGTGACCCAGCTTATAACTATTACTGAGAAAGGAGGACGGAATTGTTTTGATACCTGTGCTGACTAATTTCTTTCCCCTTCCTTTCCCTCCCATGCGCATTTTCCTAGCGCCTCTCCTCCGCTTTCCTCCCCTCCCCTCCTCCTCTTACCTCTCCTTTCCTTTCTTTTGTTCTTGTAAATTATATATGCAAGGACAAGAAAGAGTAACTGAAAATTAAGAGAACTTCAACTCTGGAGCAGTATATTTCAATCTGAGTTTGGCAGTAATTCACATGTGAGTTAAATCTCTTTAGAAAGCATCCATATAAGAAAGCACTTGGGAGGCAGAGGCAGGCGGATCTCTATGAGTTCAAGGCCAGCCTGGTCTACATAGTGAGTTCCAGGCCAGCTGAGGCTACAGGGAGACCCTTTTTCAAAAAGACCAAAAAAAAAAAAGCCCCCCCCCATATTTTCCCTTTCAAAGCCTTTCATTTGTTACTGATTCCATGATGGACATTTGGACATGTCTACACAGCCAGCCGCCTTGGCTGATTAATGGGGTCATTAACCAAGAAATCCTGGTCGGGGACGAGGCATTTTAGAAAAAATCACTCAGAGCTTACCTTTCAGGATTTCAGGATAGGGTCCTCAAAGATGTTCAGCAGACTCTATAAACAGCATTTATTTGCAAACTGTTTGGAAGCATCTTTGTCTGAAAATCCACCACATTAAGCAACAAGGTCAATGATACTAGCAAAATTATTGTCTCAATTAAGGGAAGTTCAACCATGAAAAACTAATTGAAAACGATTTCTAAACACAAGGAATGGGTTAAGTGTGACCAAAATTTAAAGATTTGGGTAAAATAGTCCCGTTTACTCAGTTTGGTTTCTTTTCCGTGTCAGGGTTCTGTTTCTGGAGAAAGCAGAAAGACAAAGTAAGAAATGCATAGGCTTCATTAACACAAACATATTTTTATTAAAGAGTGAATGCATTTACGCTAAAGAATAGTTTACATATGTCATAAAGCAACAAGCATATCTTATCTTCAGGAGGTGAGTCCTCACCAATACGACTCCATGCTTATTGTACATGCCTTGAAACTGGATCCACACATGAGGACATATGTACACACACACACAAATGCGTACGTGGACACACTGGTATACAGATGCCAACACCATCACTGTCTGGATTCTATTAGCTCTCATTTAAGGCTTCTAAGGTGCCTCCTTGCCCCTAACTTCACCACGAACAAAAACAGACTTTTTAAAGGAGCTGTATTACTTGAAAAGTAGATTATTTTCTCTCTGCCTTAAATGTGTATATTTTAACAAATACTTTACATTTCATTCCATGTTGATTCTTTATGACATCCAAAGATCTGTGAAACCATGCGATCTCGAGCTATTGTGAGAATTTCTCATCAGAATTAACAACCAAAGGGGCAATCCTGACTCTAAGATAGCAGTGATTTTAAGACAACAAGCTATGATTTCCCTTTAGGTTTCAAGCTGGATTTGGGGTTTCTAGACAAGCTGAGTTGATTTTCCATATTCTCTACTGAGTAAAATGCTGAATTATAGGGACAAGACACCCTAGGAAATGCCAAGTTGAATTTGAAAATTCCCATGAAGGATTCATCCATCAGGACCATTAACCAAGTTAGTTACTACAAATCAGGGCTTAACAGAGGACAGCCTCCAAAGAGTTTGATCACCCGTTCCCTTTTGTCTGGGGTTTCAGTTGTTTGCAACTTCTGGTTGTTTTCTGTTTATTCATTTACTTGAATGTTATCTTCCCTTTCGGTGTCCTGTGATATATGTTGAGCTCTTTAAGGGGACTGGAAGGGTAAAAGAGATGGGCAGAGGCAGAAGGAGACAAGATCATTAGTTGCAAATATTCTAAGAAAATAGATGAAGTGAGTATAAAGGAGGGTAATACTGGATATATTCACGTAAATAAAAGCATTATCTTTAACTGTGAATTAACTGCCAACTAGTGCACTGTTAGTTGTAAAGCTCAATCCAAGCTGTGCTGATTCACATGGTGAGGAGGGGGTCTGCAACATGCCATGGGAGAGGAGCGCGTGGTCACCCCCAGGTGTCCCTCGCATCCTGCTGCCTTCACATCATCACACTCCACCCCACTAGAGGGCCCAGAGTGGCCTCTAATACTCTTGTTGGACTTCATAAGGCAGACTGGACTATTCCAGCAAATGGCAGCTGCGGAGTATTTGCCTGAGAATGACGAAAACAGGCACGATCTCCACCAATAGGTGTTAGAATATGAGGGAAAAAAAGTTTTTGAGTCTAGAACCTTCCTCCCCATTCACATTCCCACCCTCCTCATGGGTCACAGCAGCAGCAGATTTCAATGTCACATAATTATTGATACATTTCTTTAGATTTAGAATTGCTCTTCTGAATTTAAAAAGCATGGCCAGCCAATAGTGTGGCAGTCTTTTCATACCAAATTTGAATCCTTGCGTCCGCATCTAACACCTGAAACTCCTTGCCCAAATGCTGCCTTCTCCCGTGCGTCTCAAGTTCCTTCAGCCATCCTCAGATTCCAATTCCTGGGAAGCCTCTTCGGACGAGCTGCTCCTGTGGATCCGCCCGTCGCTCTTCATACTGTGGAAAGTCTTCCTGAAAGCCTCCATCATGGCGTGCGCCAGCTTCTTGGCCTCCAGCTTGCTCTCGCACTGCACCGCGTGGCAGTCCATCTGGTAGGACAAATCATCGTTGATCTCTCTGTACACCCAGGCGAAGATGTTGGGGCTCACGTTGTGGTCAGCGGTGCAGTAGGCAATGCGAGCCACCTGGAAGGTATCCATGTGCACCGTGGCTTCGCCCTTGTGGTCCAGGTGATGTAGCCACACTTGGAATGGGCGGATCTCCAGGAGGGCATTGGCTGGGAAGACATCTTCGCGGGCCAGTGTGTGCTTCTTCCACAGCTCAATGACTGGCTTTTCAGTGCAGCCTGACAGAAACTGCATGCCTGTGGTGGAGATCTTCCCCAGGTAGGTGACCTGCAGACGGGAGACAGAAAGCAACCGGAGAAGTCAGCAGGATGTGCTGAGCTCCTTCTGATAGGCTGAGAGATGCGTGCCAGCAGAGATGCCTCCCCTCCTTGACCCTGGAAGTAGAATTTCTACTTTTCCTTTCCAACAAGTTTTCTGGATAGGTCTACCGAAACGCTTCAAGTAGAGTTGGGCTTTTTACATCTAATATGTACGGAACTCCCCTTTCCAACTCCTTTTTAAATTAAAAGTGACTGATGATGACCTTGTATTTAATTTGGCATTTCTTTGAAATTTTGAGGTCACTCAGAGTTTACTTTCAATCTTGAAGACATAGCACTTAATGACAGCATGGAACCAAGAGGATTTGCATCAGCAAAACAAAACTTTATTAAATTTATCTCTCAGCAAGATCCTTCTTCCTAATCAGTGTTTGAGTTCAGTTATGCTGCTTGCGTCTACCAAATGCCAAAGACACAAAAAAGCGTTCTATTTAAATTATAGCCCAAAGCATGACTTTTCCCCTCCCAACATAATTTTAAAAGTACAACAATGTCTAGCTGTTTTTCAACCTAAACAGCGTTTGAAGTGATGGGCATCTGGCTATGTGACTATAACTGAAAGATAAGACTAAAATATAGGCTTGGCAAATAGCTAGACAGGCAGTACCAGAAATAAGAAAAATAATTCCAGAGGATTCAAATACTATATTTTTTTAAAACCTTGTTGGCCAGAAAGATGGCTCATTGGGTAAATATACTTGCTGCCAGACCTGGAAACCTGAGTCCAATCCCTAGACCCACACAGTGGAAGGAGAGAATAGACTTCTGCAAGTTGTCCTCTGACCTCTACACATGTACCCTCCACATGCATTAATTACATAATCAATGCATCAATTAGTGAGTTAATTAAATGTAATTTTAAAGCTTATTCATAATATGCCAGGAAGTTCTATGTCTCTTTTTTTCATCAAAATGGGGAGAACTGGGTATGGTGGCATATGCCTTTAGTCCCAGCACTCAGGAGGCAGAGGCAGGTCGATCTTTGTGAGATTGAGGCTAGCCTGGTCTACATAGCAAGTTCCAGTCCAGCTGGGGCTACAGGGAGACCCTGTCTCGAAAAGATCAAAAAAAAAAAAAAAATGGGGAAAATTGTTATCACTGGGACATAGACATTAAGGAAATGCATGAACCGTAACAGATAAATACTAAACAATGCAAAATTATATGAAATTAGGTCTTAAAATTAGGCACAGGGATATAAATATTACAAATGTGAGGGACAGAATCCTCCAACAAAATTCATGGAGGCGAAGAACCGAGGACAGAAATTTAGTCGTGGCAACTCCAAGATGATGAAGATGGTTATGAAGGCCACACGCAAAAGCTTTAGAACATGAAAGTGAGTTCTATCACAGCACTCAGGAGACTGGGGCACAGGCCCGTCACAGACTTTTCTCTGCAGAAGATGGACATGTGGCCATTAGCACATGAAAAGATGCTCAACACTGCTAATCATTAGGGAAAAATAACAGTACTGATATATTACACACTGCTGACTGCTGTCAACAGAGCAGGTTACACTTGTTCCCAAGGAAATGGAGAAATTGGAATACTTATGCTACCTTTCTGGAGATGTGAAGCAGCAAAGTCCCTCCAGAAAGCAGCTTTGGTCAGCTGGCCAAACACCTGGCCCAGCCTACTTATTTAAAAAGGAGGTTGGCTTAGCTTAAAGTTGGGAGTCTAAAGTCCAAGATTGGAGGGGGGGCACTGATTTGCTTTTGGGGGCACTTCATAGCATGAGATCATGCGGAAGGAAAAAGTCAAATGTTCAACAGGAAGTAAGAAAAGATGGAGGGGGTGGGGAAAGATGGCTGGAAGGATCTTTATGATGTCTCAAGAACCACAAAAGAGGTCACATGTGAACTATCTCATGTCCCAAAGAGTTCTCATCTTTCCAAAAGTACCACCTCCCAACAGTGACAACCAAGGACAGGTTTTTAATCAATATGGACGTATCCAACCTGTGGCAAGCACATGGCAACTCATCAAAAGGTTAAGAACCTATTCCTATGACTCGCCAGTTCTTCTACACAAAAGAAAAGAAAGCCAGGTCTTGTAGAGATTGTTTTTACCCTCAAGGTCTGAGATGCATCATGGACTAAAAACATGCATCGTAGCTAAAATGAGGAAGAACACGCCTGTCTAGCACCACATACTGAACAGGCAGATACAGTACAATATTATTTAGCCTTAGAAGGGAGAGAATTCACATATGTGCTACCACATGGATGAACTCTGAGAAACACACACACACAGAGATTTCTTCTGAAATTTATATAGAAAATTAAATTGCAATGTGATTAAAAGTTATTTTTTTAAAAACTGTTGGGTAGGCGTGTCCTCCCACAGAACAAGCACTGAACCCCAAGAGACTCTGTAGGCAGAGGGGGAGACAGTTACCCCTCCCACCCAATCCATCAGCTTCCGTTGCATGAAGGTGAGGGTATAGGGACAGATGCTGAGGTAGGCAGGAAGTGGTAAAAAGTTGCCATCTTGGCTGCATGCTGTTGGGTGCAGTGCTGGTGGCACAGATCTCAAAAGCTTAGCCACGATGTAGGGAAAGTGTCCATGGGTGTATGCCTTTGTAAGTAACTTTCTTTTAGACCTTATAAACTTCATTCAAAAGCCCAAATGGAATGCATAGTGTTGGTTTTGTCGGTCAGTGTTAGGACCTCATGGCCCTGGATCAAAAAGCATGTGCAGTTCTCCCAGAAGAGAATTTGGTGTTATAAAAACCTCATTAGAAGCTGTAACTGACTCACTCCAACCAAGGGCAATTTCCTAACAGAAAAATATTCACAGCTAAGAAAAAATGTAACTTTCATTATAAATATGTATTATATACAAACTAAAGATTTTAAAGGAAATAGATTTATTTTGGAAGTGTGTTTGGGAGAGCACCGGAGCAGAGATTAGAAACTCAAAAGTTTTAATGAGACCATAATTAAAGCTACTTAATGCACAGACATTTATAAAGGGAATTAATTGTTTGATTTAGTTATTTTTGTTTTACGTGGATGTGTGTTTTTTTCTACATGTATGCTAAGTGTACCACATGTGTGCATGTCCATGGAAATCAGAAGAGGGTATCAGATCCACTGGAACTGTAGTTGCAGATGGTTGTTAGCTGCCGTGTGGGTGCTGTTCTCTGCAAGAACAGCTAGTGTTCTTAACCACTGAGCCAACTCTCTAGTCATATAAAGAAAATTTAAAAACTGCTGAGGTCAAACAATATATAGATGTAATCTGATGGTGTTAAACTTATACGACTAACATTTGCTTAGTGTCGACTTCCAACAGTGATACATAAAGAACACACTCAAAAACACAGGGTGACGGCTTCAAGTCATCAGTTACATATGTCTACAACCACACTGGAGACGCTGAAGAGTTAAAAGGGATGCTTGTATCACATCTGACGGTAAAGGCACTGTACACGTTAGAGTCATCAACAGCTCTGTGGGCCAGAATGGGGTATTACTATCACTAACTCAGTGTAAAGCCCACAACTTAGACCCAGATAGGAGCCATACTTAGAATCACTCAGAACATACCAGAATCACCAGGCACATGCTTTTTATGGACAATAATTAGGGTGTGAGTAACATCTTAGTCATCCATGAGGAAACCGGCACAGAAGTGTGAATTCCTCTTGATCCTTTGCTATTAGATAACGGACATCCCATCTGCTGTCAGCTGCCCTCCATGTAGCCACTGTCTATCTTTAGAAGGCAGCAGACACCTGAGATACAGCGAGTCCTCCCTAAAGATTCACAAGATATAGTTGTCTGTCACTTTTGTGAATGAACTCTCTTCCAGGCGTTTGGAATAAATATTTTATTCTTGTTTTTCAGCAACAACAATTGACAGGGATATGGACTCTAAAGAGGAGGAGCTAACAGAAGCAAAGTAGACTAATACTGAGCAGAGGCTGGGAGGGCACGGGTGGAGGAACTGGTTTAGGTCCAAAGTCACAGCCGGAGAGGGTTAACCAAAAGAGTCCAATACACTATTATGCATAGGGTTGATTATAGTCAACCATATTGTACCATATAATTCAAAAGGCTAGGAGTGAATTTTGAATATTCTCATCATGAAAAATTATTAATGTTTAGTATCTGGAAGTGATAGTTATATAATATAGAAGCATAACAAACTATCCCCCCTGTGCCCTATAAAGATGAACAGCTATAATGTGTCAATGCAAAGAGCTGAAAAATTCACTTCCTCAAAATGTTTAAACATCAGTGACACTGTTTGGGAGCTGGAGAGATGGCTCAGCAGTTAAAGGCACTGGCTGCTCTTGCGGAGGACTGAGTTCGGTTCCCAGCACCCACATGGCAGCAAACAACCATCTCTAACTCCAGGTCCAGGGGATCCAACACCCTCTTCTGGCTGCCTCAGGCATTGCATAACACAGGAGCATTTATATATGGGATACATTCAGCCAAAACACTCATACACATAAAAATAAATAAAATATTTTTTTAAAATGCAGTGACACCGTGCATGTAACTGCATACTCTGTGCATGCTGGGTCACAAAGTACCAATGGCTCAGTAAACAGCAACCACAGATCATAAGGCACTAAATGTGTATGTGTCTACATCAACACAGTCATGGGGACTTGATCTACATATGGGGAGGAGGTCTCTTCTTGCTTTAGTCACCCTCCTGTGGGAGGTCTGTCTTCCCCTCTGCTCTTTAGCATGTGCTCCATGAAACAGAACACAGAACTCAGTGTGTGCTGCTGCAGGAGGCCAGCCACCAACGCAGCTGTGTGCCTGTGTCGGGTCTGGGTGACGGGAGTCCTGGATCTTGCCAGTCTATGAAAGAGATGAATGTTTGCTAGATGAATGTGTCCCTTCTAAGCCATAATCTTCCGGAGCTGATGAGTGGTAGGAAACATCAAGTTTCAAAACTGGTCACTAAATCTGTCCAAAATGG